CCGCCCGCCCAAGCCCCCGCGCCCCGGGCTGCTCCGTTCGACGCCCACTCGAAATTGAAAGTGGTGGCGCTTCAGCATCCGAGCCCGGCTACGAGTCGGGTCTCAATCCGCACAGTGGGCTGAAACGTCCCTTCGCAATAGACTTATTTCGTGACTAAACGCAGAAAAAGATCCTGTTTGACCAATAGGAATGCTTGCTAAATATGCCATGACAAATATCCCTGCCTGAAGCAACAGGAAATTTTGTTTCAAACGATATTCCTGTTATTTCGAAGGCTTGCCCCGTCGATTTAAAAATGTTTTTGGTTGACTTCACGAGAACCACAGTCGCAACATATTTGGACTACATTTTGCAATTTGGGACTGTAAATTCTAGCCCGGTTTAAAAACAATGTACTTTTCATTAGTTTCCCAATGCACATAAAAGTTTTTCCAGAAGAGCCAGAATTTTTAGTTCCAAATTGCAAAGTGCAGTCCATTTAAATAAATAATCATTCCTTATTGAAAATAAAACCAATTTTGTAAAAAATCGAAGATTATACGTTTCAGGATGAAACTGAGTATTTTGTATGACAGTAGCTTTTGATATGTTATGTGTTATGTTTCTCAAGACAACGATATATGTGACCTTTGATATGCTTTCATCTGATGTAAATTTTAAAAGGATCTACGGCACCGTTTCGAGTGGATGTAATGGTATCGAAATAATGAATGTCATCATACGATGATATTTCCACGATACACAAAACACCACCATAAAAACATATGTTTTTGGGATCGTTGATAGATCAAATTCTTAATGACGCAACTTATTTTGACTAAGTTTTAAACCTTTTTATCGAGTACAACCCCGGAAATAATGATGACTGCTTTCTCACTGTGCGACGATGTTTACTTGTGTTTCCGCCAGGACGCAAAATGTTTATTGAAAATCGTCCTCTCGAATATTCGGGTGCATGCTGTGCTCTTGTGGGTGGGTAATGGGAGTCCTCCATTCCACCTCGGTCGATTTGTTTGAATTTTGGCTCTTGGGCTCTTTATTGAACAGGCAGGGCACCGACCAAGGGTTGTTGCATGAAGAGCAGCCGATTGCCTGGTGCGCCTCGGTGGATCAAGTGGTTACCACTGGCAGTGCAAGGAGTATAGGTACAATGTGTGTACAAAGAGCAAAAGGCCTCAACTCATTGCACCCTTACCGACCCTACTTAACATCTACAGACCTAATTATTCCTCCTGGTATCGTCATCAGCGTGGCCAAGACATTTTTAAAGGGAGGACGAGCATGACACCTTTTGAATCCTTCGGTTCCAAAACAATCCAGTTCTATGAATTTCAAAAAGTATTGTTGCAGAAACATGGTTTTCAGCGCATTTTTAAAATTGGTCTCTTATGCCTTCCACCAAGGATTGAATAAACTAGTTCTTTGAAGTAAATATTTCCGAGACAGTCAAATGAAAATGAAGAAAGAACCACCAACTCAATTTTAAAAATTCGTAATTTAAGCGGGCGGAAACTTTTCAGATTGCGATTTTGCTAGTTTGAAAGTGATAAAATATTATTTAGGAATTTTGAATGGAACCTCAAGAGAAACGCATAATGGTCGATGTCTGCCAATGGGTTAGTAACATCGTCAATCGGTTCAATCAAAGCTTATGGAGTGTTATATAAAAGTGTGTTTTTCGAAGATACAACTATTCGCGCTCCCTGGTGCGTGTGTTGCCTATGCGGCAAAATTGAAGGGTAACTTCAGATTGACATTACCTGCAAATAGGTATACGCATGATCTATTGATTCTGTTATTTCATTGAGCAAGATTTTCCCCTCCATAATAGATAACTATTTACGCTAGAATTGTTGCCTAATCAGCAAAATCGAAAGCAACCTTCCGATAGACAATTCTCCTGTACCTACGAAAAGATTAACAACATCGGTTAAATCGGTTAATCGGTTTATCAGTTTATCGGTTAAATCAAATCTATAAAGCGTTTTAAAAGTGTGTTTTGCAGATTCGCACTCCTTGATATGTTTGTTGCAACTATGCTGCATAATTAAAGTCGACCCTTAGATGAATGATTCCTGCCAATAGGTTACCAACATCGTTTATCGGTTCAATCAAATCTGTAAAGCGTTATAAATTTAATATGCTTTTGGGAGATACAACTATTGGCACTCCCTGGTACGTTTGTTGTCTATGCAACATAATTGAAGGCGACCTTCAGATGAACGATACTTACAGATAGGTTAACAACAGTGCTTATTCGTTCAATGGAGCGTTATACATATTTTTCGAAGATGCAACTAATCGCGCTCCCTGGTACGTTTATTGCATATGTAGAAAATTGAAGGCGAACTCCTGCAGATGTACATTATCTTACGAATACGTAAACAACATCGTTCATCAGTTCAATCCAAGTTTATGGAGCGTTACAAATGTGTGTTTTTCAACTTGACGATTCACGGATCACCCTTAATGGACTCTGATGTGTTAAGCTATGTACGTATGTTGCCTATGCGGCAAAATTGAAGGCAAACTTCAGATATACAATACTCACGAATACGTCAACAACAGCGTTCATCAGTTCAATCCTAGTTAGAAGGCCTCGATAGACGATCAAATTCCCGAACCAATTCCGATCAAAGTAGCATCAAAGTGTCGGGAGTCATCAGTCTTAAACTCATTAATTTGCTTCATTTTAAAATGAAAACTTGGCAGAAATGTTTCCTGTGGCAGGAAATGATGGATGGTGGCACTCCGTTCTGATCTTACTTTGAACAAAAAAGTGCGGCCCGTCAAAATTTGATGGTAGATGGTGACCGCCAGTCATCAGCATGTCTACTTTGATCGGAATTGGTTCGGAATTTGATCGTCTATGCAGGGCTTATGAAGCGGTACAAATGTGTGTTTTCCAACCCAACGATTCGTGGTTCTCGGACCACCCTTTACTGGAGTATGGTGTTAATCTGAGGTGTTGTCGTTACAGGTGCAATGCAGATGGTGAGCTGGCTTTCCCGCCGTTCAGCAGCGGGCTGCAGCAGTGCGGGAGCTCGGTCGGAGCCGCCGTCGGCGTCGGTGTGGGCGTCGGCATGGCCTCCTACATCAAACCTTACTCCGTCAACAGCATCGTTGACTCCTTCCACGGCTACACAGCAGGTCAGTGTCACACACACTGCTTCCCTCAATTCTCAAGTACGAACTTATTCACACTTAATGTTTTTTTTTTTTTTTTTGCCCCGGAGACAGGAGGCCCTCCACTGGCATCTTGGCTACAGGTTGAGTCTGTTACTTTCGGGGATTTGACACTTTCTTATGGACAATTATACACGGAAAAAAAGTGTCAGGGGTTATCCCCTAAAATTGTTTTACTACCCTTTTGTTGGATGATATGGACATTTCTAATTGATTTTGGTAGAACCGCAACTCAAGTTGGAGTAGTACCGAAACATTTGGGTTAGTAACCTAATTTATCGGGATACTATCACAATTAGTTATTGGAATACTACCACAATTAATGGAGTCGTTTTTCTTAGTTTTTAATAAGAAAAATATATAATTACGTAGTAATTGTAAATAAATACCAAAACAATTCTAGGTAGGTGTCAAAGACTGACTGAAAACTTTTATTAACCTCTCATGAGAAAATATACATTTTATCAGCTGACACTGACCTTGTTGTCAGATGAATAGGGGTATTACCATAATTAATTGGGAATGTCCATATCCAACAGTTGGGACTTTATAACCCCTGCCTTTTTTCTTTCCGTGTAGGGAAGCAACAGTCGTCGCCCTTTTTTGGGCTATTGAACTACCTATCAGGTGAATGATGAGCTTCGGGTGACGTCATAAGCCAAACAAGTTTAAAAAAATTCTGCGCTTATATGCGAAACAAAATTCTCAACACGTTGTTAACTACCCCCCTATAGGTAATTCTACAGTTGAATCTTGGAGTCCCGGAAGTAAAAGCTTCCTCCATTGCCAAGACGCCAGTGGAGGACCTCTGATCTATATTTTGCTCTTCGCCTCCATTTTTGTCAGGAATGAATGTCTGGATGTTTTTCGTAACCTCTGATTAATTCATTTTCGAGGTCCTCTCCTCCGTTTTCTCTCCTTTTTGATCGGTATGTTCCTTGACGAACCCTTAGTTTCCCAGTCCATTCCAGTGTATAATCTTTGCAATCGGTGAATATGTAGTCTGATTCTGATTCCCTTTTTATGACACTCTAAAAGCCTGAAACCGTCGTTTCCCTCACGAAAGAACGTAACTGCATTTCAATTTTGCCAAATTTCTTCTCGCATATTGCATTTTTACGGTGAGAATCTTGGGCATTTCATATTGAAAATTTTCCTGATTTTTCCTCTGATCTACAAAAATCAGAAACATATTGGACAAAAATGCGTATGCGGGTACATTATTGTAAAAAATTGATTTGTTCGAGTCAATTCGTCGTTTCCCGCGCAAAAGAACGTAACCCATTCCAAGGTTGCCAAATTGACTCAAACAATTAATTTATTTCACAAAAATTTACACAAGCAATTTGTATCCAAAATATTCCTGCTTTTTGCTTGGGATCTAGAGAAAAATCAGGGAAATTTCCAATTAGAAATGTTCAAGATTCTCTTGGTAAATAGGCAATTTGCGAGGGGAAATTTGGCAACATTGAAATATAGTTACGTTCTTTCGTCCGGGAGACGACGAATATTGCAACTTTGGAATAGAGTTACCTTCCCTCGCATGGGAAACTACAAGTTACGGAGACCAATCAGAAATGGATTCCTTACGTCTAAAATCTCAGTATCTCAGGGACTCATGGGCTTTGATCCGAGAAGCAACGATATTAATTTTTAAACTACAGGGCGTGTGAGTAAGGGAGAGAAGTATCCTCACTTACAGTGGCCCAGTCCGGCAATAGGAAAGAGGATCCTGGGTTATTGGCTCCTGCGTGTTTGCTCGTGATAAGGGATAAGGGCGCGAGAGCTGCCACTCGTCCCCTTCCTCCCCTCCCGTGCCGCTGAGCCCTCGCGGTAATCATTGACACCAATTACCGGACAATTTACCCCCTTCGGACACCCGGTCTCCCTCCATTGCCTCGAGTCTTCGCTAGTTATCCAAACATTTACGCTTCTTTATTTTTATTTGACTTGCAATTATCCTTACACTTCCCCCTTCACGCAGCCTCTTCCGTCCCGCCTTTACCGTGTAACTTAATTGAATCTCCGCGTTGAGATTTCACATTTTTGTTCCTCTCCTTTCCTCTCCGTTTTTTGCTCTTTTCAGGCTAAATAGGGGACTAATTTTCACTCTTCTGTTAAAAGGGAATAGCGAGCCTTAGAATAGCCGGAGTCATGCACAGATGTCTGATATTTGAACGTATTTCTATTAAGCGGAACTATGTGCATTAAGACATGAGCCCTGAGACCCATAAAAATACATGCATAACAGGGCTCACGTCATAATGCACATATATATCGACGGTTTAAGTCGGCAATCACATAACTCGTTTGCGATGTCTGAAAATCTCCGCCTCTATGTTTTTTTTTTTAAAAGAGAACAAAGTGACATCATTCCTTGAAGTTTTTGCAGAATTTTCTTCGCACAGAGAAGAAAAATCACGGAAGTTTTAAAGAATTGCCGTTTAGTAGTTTTCCGTTTGAAAAATAACGTATGACAGGAAGTCTGCGACGTCGCAAACCGAGTTATGTGATTGCCGACTTACACCTGTGTGTTTACACCGTCAAAGTATACCTTTTCATGTAAAATGAAAAAACCAAATGGAAAATCATAATCAAAGAATAGTCAATTTCATTCTGCACGCTTGCTCGATAAATAAGTTCTCGAAAGACAAGGAGACGCATAACCGATTGCTTGGTCTGATTTCAGCGAATCCGCGAAAGCAAAGGCGAGAGAGGACTACGTTCACGAGAGCACAGCTGGACGTGTTGGAGGCACTCTTCGCCAAGACCAGGTATCCGGACATCTTCATGCGGGAGGAGGTCGCGCTTAAAATCAATCTACCCGAATCAAGAGTGCAGGTATGTACCATTCAGCCCATCACAACACTGCCGTGCTAAGGAAAAACGCCGTATGAACATTCAAGAGTTGCCAAATTTCCTTTGATGGAATGTCTATTCTTGAAGAAAATTATGAATATTTTTCCTTGGAATTTTCAGGAACTTCAGATCAAAATACGAAAAAAATTCTCTGAAAAATTGGAAGAAAAATAATGATAAGTTTACCAGGGAATTCGAATTTTATCAAAGGCAATTTGGCAACGCCTGAAGGTTCATACGGCGTTCTTCCTTAGCACGGCAGAACAGGGCTGCCGTCCACAGTAAAAACGCCGCAACTCCATTCAACACTTTTTCAATTTTTTTCAGACAGAATGCTGTTCTACAAAAAACCCAACAAATATTCATCCTTCATTTTTTCAATACAACTCCGCCACATCATTACGATCTAAAAATGAAAAAATGAAGCCGAATTGTGGCAATTGAATTTTCTTTTAATAGAGCAGTACATGCTGGAAAAAAAGGAAACAATTCTGAGTGGAGTTACGGCGTTTTCGCTGTGAACGGCAGAGGGGCACCCAGCACACGCACGTACTAGACTGTACACATAATTCCTGGTAGGAATCGCCCGAGCCTATTCACCATTTATCGTGATCACATTTGGGCTGCATTCTCCAAGAGGATACGTCTTTTTTTTAGCCCATTCGTAAAATGACCTACCTGAGAACTGACACGTATGTTGTTTCTAAAGTGAGCCAGGAATAGTAGTTTTTAATTGCAAAACGTAATCGATTTATCACACTAACGGGCCACAATGAAATGGAGAAGTTTGGGCCTCGATGAGACTACATTTTGAAATAAGGAACTACTACCCCTGACCGGTTTAGAGCCAACGTATGTGTTCTTAGTTTCCCTGTGTAGATACGTCCTTTCATGGATTAGCCACAAATAGTAGCTTCGCATTTCAAAATGTAGTTCAATTGGACGTATTTACGCTAAAGATGTGCTCTGATAGATTCTTTATAAAGAAAGACGTCTCCCACATAAAAACGTTTACAATGAGTAACGAAACCTTATTTGGACGTATTTCTACCAAACGAAACTATGTGCATTATGACATGAGCGCTGTTATGCATACATTTTTATGGGTCTTAGGGCTCATATCTTAATGCACATAGTTCCCTTTGGCAGAAATACGTTCATTTTACTGCGGAGTCCCAGCGTTGGGTTGCCGGGTCGGCTGAGAAACTATAAATTAACTGCGAGAGAAAACGTAGAGCATCATAGTAAAATGAAGGCGCCTTAATTTTGGATTGTCCTTCGTACAATCCTCTGATAATAGAACCCTCATCACCCATTCATTCTCATGAAATATATACATGTTAACTCTTGTCATTATAGTTTCCTCAGCAATTCTTAAAGCTCTAATTAGAGTTTTGTAATATTGCACGACGCTTTCCTAATCAGATAAAATAAGAACCTCTTGAGATAGGAATTTAAACCTCGAAGCTCTTTTTATTGTCTCAGAACTTGGAAACCGGAGCGTTGAGCGTTTTAGTAATGAATTGATACTTCGGCTTATATGCAGGAAACTGGAACCTGCGCGAGCGTCTGCGCCGTAAAATTTCAATTTAAGTTTTCCAGGAAAGTAAAATTGCTCTCGTAGAAATATCCTCGGAGAAAACCTTGGGAAAAATCGATATTAGCTTGAACCCCTAACATTTTTACCTGATACTCTGCGCTTTCCTTTCAATTAGTCACATTGAAAACTCAACCCAAACCAAACGTAGGCTTGATTGAAATTCACATGCACGGACTTCTCTCGTAAATGTTCAAAAAGTATAACATTTTCACTCATACAGATACTTTCTCTCAGTTTTATTTAATACGGGAATGTGCTTACAAAGAAAGTTTACTTCTTTCAACTTCCTCGAAATTTCTGAGATCATAGACATAAATCCTTTTTGTTCTCAAACACTGGAAAAAAACACATTGGATCTAGAGTCCAGACTCTTGAAAATATCGACAAGAAAAAGTACTCTTGATTCAATCAGAATCTAGCTTAAATTAAGAACCAAGCCTCTTAATTTTAGCGGATTTTGTTTTGATTCAAGCAAAAATCCGATTAAATCAAGAGTATTTTTTCTTGTCAATGTTTTCAAGAGTCTAGACTCTAGATTCAATGTGTTTTTTTTTCCAGTGAACGGCCGTATCCCTAAAGTATTGGTTCCCATAGGATCGCCGGAAGTCTCTAAAAAATGTACATTGAGCAAAATATTAGAGAATAGAGAACTTCCATTCACATGGTGCAAAATTTAGCCGAATTTTTTCTAAAATAGATAACTCTATTTGTAGAGCTTCACAGAGCACATGCAGGAAATCACAGGATCCCTTTATTCTTTGATTACGAGGTACATGATTTCGAGTGTGAAACAAGGATACCTAAATAAAATAGCACAGGTAAAACTTTGGCTGTTTAGTAACAGACCAGACTTACACCACACTGAAAGTTTAGTCGGAGTGTGAATGAAGGGCTTCACGAGCCATGAAAAAGTAATATCCGCTATCACTCAGTGTTTCAACGATGCCCTCTCTTTTCTCTTCTCTGACTCATTGCCAGTGTCAGGAAACGAAAAGAACAGGATTTTTTACCTTCACTGTCTTACGGGCAACTTAATTTATATTGGACACATATTTTGACCCTCCACGAGAAAAGAGACCCTGTGGTCCACCATTAGTCAGTCCACCGTCAGTCGAGTCTGGTCGAAAAATTAGGTTTAGAGATTTCCTAGCAGAATGGAGAATTAGCAGGTATCTAAAATTCGATTTTTTTTTCTTGTTAAAGTGGAAGCTATTGAGTGAGCTGAACGCTTGGTTCATGAATTGAACAATTATTGGAGTAAATATGACAATAATCAGCGAAAATGTATGCGTTTACGGTACATATACCGTCAAATGACGTCACAAGGCGATGCATTTTCTCTTTTTTAAATATATCATTATACTTTTTCCTACACCAGAAAAAAATTATAAAAAATACTGTGAAATCTGCTCACTAAGAACTCTCAGATGAATTAATAAAAACTTTGAGTGCAAATTCGCAATTTCCTCGAATATTCTGAAAAATAGTCGGAAAGGAACTAATATTCATAACTTTTCTCCAAAATAAACATTTTATACGGAATAAATTTGGCAACGCCTAAATGTTCATACGGCGTTTTTCCGTAGCATTGCATGCAGTATCCCTCCCACAGCCGCGCACAACGACAACGGGGTTGGGAATTGAAAACCGGTAGTCCTGCGGCGGGGGGTGGCGGCACATCCCCTGGTCTCACCTTGAATGAGTGAATGAAATGTATCTCTTCAAAGGAGGGGGCTAATTTATTCGGGAACACGGACTGGATTGTTCTGTGCTGGCTACCTTTACAGAAAGCACAAGGATGAGTCGTATTATTCGGGCACGAGTAACGGAGAACCGCGCAACTTCCCTTAGGTTCCGCGGCTTATTCGCGGTTTTTACAGGGTAGTTGACTATTAAATCGTTCCTGCAGCTATGTGCTTTACCTACCCTGTCACTCTCTCTTGGCTCTGGGTACTCGCTCATCGTTTCAAAAATGGCTTCTCACCGGAGCGTACACCTTTGTTACGTCACTCATTGCCAGATTTCACGTCCCGAATTTTGTGACAGAACGCCATTTTGAAATTTGTTGGCTAAGAAAATAACCGTGAAGTGCCTCTTTAAGCAGTGGTACAATTTTCAAACAATTTTGTGTATTTTGCACACAAGGTTTCGAACAAATTTTTATTTATTATTAAATAAAAGTTTGTTCGAAGCCTATTTTTTAGGAGTATCTACATAAAAAATGACCTTAGTCCATTACACCATAAAAAAAAGTGAAGCTGAATTAACATTCTGGATGTAAAAAAAGTGTGCGAGAGCTTACAAAATGCTGAATAAACTACTATAGCAGATACTCCAGCAATGTCAAGATGTAAATCTAACTGCCGTAGCTGGTAATTTAGCATTGTGAGTTTTTGCACAATTTTTTTACATCCAGAATGTTAAATCAACTTCACTTTTTTTTCGGTGTAACACTCAAAATTGAGTTACTATGATATACCTGAGCATAGAGAAGTGTTCAGAAAACATTCGGGAACGAAAGCGAAACACCCCAAAATATTAAAATGAGTGAAGGAAATAACAAATCAGTATCATTCTTTGAAGTTTTCCTCGAGCAGAGAGAAGAAATCACGTTAGTTTTCAAGAACTGCCGTTAAGTGGATTTCTGTTTAAAAAGTGAAGCGTGGCTGGAAATCTGCAACGCTGCAAACAGAGATATGTGGTCTGATGTTAGTTTCACCCTCGATATGGTGTGATGGATCTACTTACACGTGCTGATAATTAGATAGCATTTAGCAAAAAGAACCCCGCGCTATTGTAGCGTTGTAAAAATGGTGCTTCTTCATAACTATAAAAAAAATCTCCCAGAATAGCAAATAATTTTTGCTTCCCACTGAAAATTGTTGATTTTAAAGGAAAATAATTATGTACATTTTAATACTATACACAATATATTGAGTACTATTAAAAGAAAATAAGAAGTTGCACGATTTTGAAAACACAGTAATCGCGCTGATTCCATTTTGCTAAATGCGTTCCAGTTGTACATCCAGATTTTTCACCTTCAAAAATAGGATGTTTGGCCACAATTTGGCCCTCTCAGGTCACGGTCGTAAATTACCCATGTTTCGCACGCGAAACGTCGATTTTAAAAACCATCAAACCAGACTGTGCAACATTACCATCAAACAAGCAAATTATCCGAAGCAATCGGATCATCCGAACACAGCCCAGCCCCTTGGATAAACCAATCCATGACGATTTGGTTAATCAAATCAAGAATCAATGCCATCCCTCCTCGCCCCCTCCTCGCCCCCTCACGCCCCGCGAGAAATTATCCCGGCGGCGCTTGCACGCGGCATTCCATGTTTACAAATTTGCTCAGCTTCCTGCTCGCTGCACC